GTGACATGCTTGGACTTTTGTGTAAGACTACGAGACGTAGTGCCTACGCTCAATTAATGACTCAACAAGGTATTATTAACAGTAAAATTTAACCGAATTAATTAGAAAACTGTTTAATTAGACACAAAGTGATGACTCGTGCAATAAACCGAACTGTCGTCAAAACGACAGGACTGGCGCCTCTCTATGCAGTGTAGGGCCAGACGACAGAACTGTCGCCAGGCGCCACACTCCATAGAGTGGCGCTACAGTTCAAAATTCGACGCCATTGCTGCAGCGTCGATCTTAAACTATTTTCGGTATTATTGATCAACAGGGGTATGCCTAAAGTCGTACTAAGTCAACTCTAGTTAAAATATTAGACTTTATTTACTCAAATTAATTAATTAATTAATTAGGCAAAGTTCTTTTAGTCATTAATTTATTTAATCTTAGCACAAGTCAAACAAACGGTTAGGAAAAACACATAGAGTATGCACAACAAATAATGCACAATTAGTCAAGTAGGCACGATATGATGCAATGAGTTTGCAACCTAACCATGGCTCTAGTTCTCTTAAGTTCGGGATATGGGTTAGTCAAAAAGGGTCCATGATTAATTGTTCGAATGCACAGTGCGGAAGCCTAACCGTGAAGGGTTGGCGCGAGTGGATAGGACACCGCGAGTTTAAAAAAACTCGCTTCCATGGTTTGGTGAATTCAACATTCTCGGATGTACCCTTTGTTGCTCAGAGCGTTCAATTAGGTAGATGGAGCATGAATTCCCAAAGGGTTATGTCCATATGTAGAACACATATGGGTTTCAAAAAAGTAAGAAAAACTCAATCAGGAAGTAGGATCGAGCGAACAACGCTAAAAACTGGTTGAAATTAGAACACATATTTCTGGCTCGGTATTGGAAGAACTTGGCGCCAGCAAACAGAGGCTGGTGCAAGCTTTTGGCTTTAGCTCCTGGCGACAGAGGCTGTCGTCTGGCACTAAGGTCCAAATACTGGCGCTAATCTTTATTCGCTGACGCTAGTTCCTACATGCCTCAGCAGCTTTCTGTGTTCGATAAAATTTTCCAGTTTCGCGCATTGTTATTTCGATTCTAGTTGTGAAAGATATTCCTCAAATTCCCTATGTGTAAAATTAATATGTTTTAACTCATTACGGATGGTCTTTCCAATGAGATCGTTTTTATGCATATGACAATAATGTTAATCAAAATTACGCACATGAAATACTTAGAACTTTTCGAGTCTCATCCACTCATTCTAAATCATTGCCGAAATAATTTTCAGGAATTAAAATAGAAATCCCCCCAGTGGAATCGCCAAAAACTGTAGGGAATATTTCAAGAATTATCCCTAGCTTGAACCCCACTGTGATCATACACTAAAGTATTGTGGCGTCCAAAGGGAAAGAAGATAGAGCAAAAGAGTCTCCAACAAGTTTTAGGAACTTGTAAACCATTCACGAGGTCAAGGTTACACCCCTTAACGATCTAGGAGATTGTCAACTCCAATAGGTCTTGAACCATGACTGGTAGTTCGGGGATGAAGGTACAAATCCAACCTAAAAGAGATTGAACCTGCCCTAATAATAGGCCTCTACTTTATTCTGATCGTATTCATGTGCACTTTTTGACTAACATGCAATCAATAGGATTAACCTAAACCTGTTTAATCTATGTTGGTTGAATATTAATGCACAAATAAAACTATTATTGTAGATCACTTGAATTATAATCAAATTAACCCTAAACAAGATTATTAATTATCTTATTAAGCGTGATTACAAGTACCAATTCCCTTTAAACATGCATAAAAGGTGTGATCAAGCAATAACAATAAATATCATCAAGCAACATAATAATAATCATCATAAAAATAATAATCATGAATCATAAAAATAATCATCATTATAAAATTATAATCATAATTAAAATAATCATGTTAAAGCATAAGAATAGCAAGATCCTAGGCATGATACTAACAAGATTAATAACAAACCCTAGCATGTCACTAAACATATAAAAATCATATATTTACCCTTAACATGATACTAACAATCATAAATATTAGGAAGAATATAAAAGGCATCATACTTTTACTCATACTTGATATTAAAGTTACCCTAGACATGATAGTAGGAAGATCAAAACACCCTAACATAATATTAGGAAGCATAATAACAATCTACACATGATTTCTATATCATAACAACAATAAAAACCATTAAAGTACTTACTTGTATGCCTCGTACCTCTTTCTAATAACAAAATACACACGTTAGTAACTTCAAGGAAAATATAAACAAAACAATTAAATTAAATAATTGAAAGAGAGATTTGGGACCAAACCCTGAGAAATTAAAACCTTTCACGTCTAGGGCGAAGGCAACTTCAAATTATGCTAGGTGTATCTAGGTCTTGCGAGTGCGGAATTTTGTATTTTGAGAAAAGGCTAGTTTAGAAAAGAGAGAGAAAAAGTAAATTTAAGGAGATTCTTGATGAGAGTTGGTGAAAAGAGAGAATTGGTGAATGAAAACGGAGTTTTTAGAAGTATATTTATAGACAAAATCAGCCAAAAAGATAAAAAATCGAAACAGAGTTATGACGCGCAAAAACGAGGTTAGCGCCAGACGCTGATAATAGCGCTAGGCGCTAACGCTAGCGCCAGGCGCCAAGCTTAGCGTCAGGCGCTAATGCTGGCATTTGGCGCTGACTAAATTATTGACGCGTTTTCTAAAATCAGATAGTAATTGACCGTACATGAGGATAAAATCGTATTTTCCTCAAAAACATTCTTTTATTCTGATTAAAACTCTAAAAAGTCAACAAAGTCAATTTATCAATGCTAATTGAATTAGGAATGAAAAAGAACCTTCTAGAAGAAGCTAGAAGACTAAAACCATTTCTAATTGCATTAGGAATGATAAATCCATATTAGGCCGTCCCCTAGATCATTGGGCCGCATATAAGGCTCAAACCAGGCTCAGTTTAGTAATTTGGCCATAACTTCCTCAATATTCATCGGAATTGGGCTTATAATATATCGTGGGAAAGGTCTTTTCAAGCCCCATCCAACTACACAATTATTGGACCCATATCATGGACCAACCAAACAGGATTGGCTGTTTTCTTAAAATAGGTTTTAAAAAACAGAGAGAGGAGAAAAGAAATTTAAACTATCCGCAACACTAGACTTTCCATACTTTCACTTCATTCGATTATGATTCGACGTGAAAGGTACTCATCACCGGGTTTGGTTTTGGGGAGACACAAATGGGTGTCTACACCATATTGCATGTTTAGACGGAATATGTAATTGAAAATCACGCCTAATGAGATTATTTGGACAATCGGTTTAGTTTTGTTTTTAATCTTGTTGTTAATTGAAGTGATTAAAATATTTTAGAATTATATATTGCATAAATATTAAACCAATTTAGCCTAATAATAGTTTGGAGCAAATGGAATCTTTGTTTGTATGCCTTTCAGATCGCAGGAATCACTTTTCATTATAAGAATCGAGTAGAGGCTAATACGGGCGAATGTGACTCCATGACTCACTTCGTACCATCATCCCCGATCCTCCTTTCGTGATTCTGAACCATATTGGGTTAGTAATCTCATGTATTATGAATGGGGTGTAACCTTCACGGAAAAATTGTTGTTGCCTTCATTGTCCCTTAATCGTGGTTGCCTTAAATGATCCGTGAACGGTTTACAAGCTCCTTAAAAACTTGTTGGCGGCTCCCTACTTTCCTTGTCCCTAATCGTATTATGTTAATTCCCACTTCCTAAAAGTTCCAAGCATGTTCACACATGCTTTAACGTAGGCGCATTTCGAACCACGCCTATAACGGGTTACTTCCCGAGAAAGGCTTGCTTAAGGTCCAAGCTTGACCGCTTTAGAAAATAATAATTTAACGCACGCAAGAGATTGTCAAATGCACTACTACACATTTCATAAGATAAACGGTAGGAAAATGACGGGATAAGAACGTGCAACAAGATTTTTGCACGCATGTGAGAAGGGAGATGCCAAAAGAAAGAAGAAGAGGGATCAAAAGGATAAAGAAGAAAATAAGAAGAAGTGGGGGTAATAAAAGATTGGAAAGAAAAAGAAAAAGGCAAATCCTCCTCACTAAAATATTTTTGGGTGGCAACATCACCCTTTTCCTCAATAGGGGATGAATGAGGGGCATTAAGATCATCATAGACAAGGGGGTCCCCAATAGGCTCATCAACAAAGGAAGGGAGGGATATAGGAGTGTAGGGGATGTGGTTAACATTGCTTGAAAAAGGGACACCAGAGGAGGGAATAGGGGCTATGATCTCACAAATGAACTCTTCCTCACCACCATGCCTCAAATCACCAATAAGAGCATGAAAATCAATCATAGAATCCTCAAAAGAAGAACACTCATGATCATCATCTCTCTCAAATATCCAACTTCCAAGATGAACTACATAATCCCCTTCACTACAATCATGAACAACAACTCCCTCGACTTCCTTAAATCCTAAAGTCTCAAAGCCATGCATGAATGGATGCAAATTCATTTCAAACTCATCTCTCTCCCATGAAGCATATTCTATGAACTCACTCAAAAGGATGTGGGTTTTCATTTGACACTCAATAAACACATTAGATGTAACCTCAAATGAATCCAAATACTCATGGATAAAAGGATCATAATCATGCATTTGAGACTCACCAAGATGGGAAAGAGGGTTAGTATTTTCAAAATCACACTACACCAAAAACTAGATTAGAGATCGCAAAATATAGAACGGTTACCAAAGGTAGGCGTTTTCCCGAAGAATATAGAACGTATTTATATTAGAGGCGTTCTGTATGTTAATACATATGGAACGGTTAGCATAATTAACCGTTCTCTATTTCTAAAAAGGAAAAAATATGGATTTTTAATTTAGAACGCTCCTGACGCAACCGTTCTATTTTACTCCATATTTATACCATTATCCGTATTAAAAAAAGTATAAGTGTAAACCCTAACAACACTCCTCTTTTCTGAGATTTTCTAACTCAGTCGTTACCCATGTTTTCTCTCTTATCCTCTTGCTTAAAAATTTCCTCTCTCTCTCTGCCTTTCACAGATCTAATTATAGTTGGCTCTAAGTTCTTCCCGCAGACCAAATTCTCTAATCAAATTCAATTAAAATAAACATCCAATATTTTCAGAGTTAATTTTAGATTCAAAGATGGAGAAGTTGATGAACACTCACCAATAAGAAACCCCAACGTAACTGCGCATAAGGGTGCAAATCTTTCATAATAGCAGCGACAATAAATATGGTTCGAGTTTACCACCATCTCACGGAGGACCAATTCGTCACCATTCAAGCATGTATTGAAGCATGAATCAGAAAATGATAAATTGAAACAAAAGTCCAATGAAGCAATTCATGTAATCGAAACAGGTAGTGATAATAATCCATTGTTGAGATAATATACACATATGAGCAATAATAAAATTTTAATTAAATTTTAGATCTGAAATTTAAGTATTGTTTCTATTCACATAAATTCTACCTAATCGTAGTTTGAATATTTGAAGATTAAAGTCTCTTGTTAGTTCATTTTAGAATGGGATTTATTTCTGGAAGTACTGGCTAATTATTGTATGTAGATGAAGACAAAGTTTATAAGGTTAAACCTTTTATATTGCATCATCTAGATTATTGGATTTATTTTTATAGTTGAATTTTTATATCTAATTATACTATTATTGGTGCAGGAACACTTAATTTATAAGGATTTGAAGTTGAGTTGGTATCATTTTGGAGCTATGGACAATGGAATAATGGACTGGGAATGAATAAATCTATTAATTTATACTACTACTTGAATTAGTTTTTGTATGTTGATTTTTTGGTTTATGATATTCAAATCTGTGAATTGTATTATACTTTGTGTGAGTATATGATGATTGATTTGGTTTTAAGTCATCAATTTGGGAGTGGATTTGCTACCTTGCTAAATTATATAAAGACAAGGCTTGGTGGGACATCTTTTGGAGCTTGCTATGGGGCGTATGGCTGAAGAGAAATGCTGCCACTTTCGAACATCGCAAAATTTTGATTGAAGATGTGATTATCAGAGTTGATGGGATCGCTAGTGAGTATGAGAAAGAAAATGAGGTCCTCCCTTATGAGATTATACGGAATCAGGAAATCAATCATGTGTGGTCTCCTCCTACGGTGGGAACTTAACTACGACGCTGCCTGCTTTAAAGATAGTTCAATCGACATTGGGGGTGTCAAGAGGGACCATATTGGTGATGTAATGGCTGCTACATGCTGCAATATGCTGGGAAGTTTCAGATCGATGTCGCAGAGGCTTTGGCTGTCAGGCACACTCTCCTTATTGCGTTATAGGCTGGGCTCAACAATGTGGTCTTGGAGGTGGACAATATCAAACTGTTCAACTACTTATCAAAAGGCACCAGTGACTTTTCTAGATTTGGTTTGATTATAAAAGACATTTTTATCTTGCTTCTCTTTGTATGTCAATGGGGTGGCCCATGTTTTGGCCAAGTGCAGTAGGAACTATGTTGAAATGATGGTATGGATTAAGGAAACTCCTCCATGCGCCATTGCTGCTGTAACCCATGATTTATCTTTCCTTAATTAATTTAAGTTCTTGCTTCCCGTAAAAAAAAAATTAAATTTCTCAATTAGAATGTTTTTATTAATTCCATACGTATTACAAATACGGTGTATAACGGTATAATGTTTGTATAGAAAATACCACAGAAATACAGGGAGAAAATGACGGATATTTTTTTTTATTTAGAAAATACACATTAGAGAACGGTTATCTAACATGACCGTTCTCTTTTGCATTGAAATATAGTACGGTTAACCAGCCTACCCGTTTTGTTTTCCTTTATTATTTTTCAAATTTAAGAAGGGGAAAGAGAACGGTTGTGACTATGAACCGTTCTCTATCTTACATTATATAAAACGCCTATTTGAACTGTTCTATATACTTTACACATCGCTTAGCAGAAGAACGGATCTAAGGCGTTCCTACAAGGCCTATTTTAACTGTTCTATAAGCCCTTTTTTGTAGTAGTGTCAACAATCTCTTCATTACCAACTCCTTCACCATCACTCAAATGCTCACCAATAAGATCCTCACACTCTTTTGGTTGCTCAAAATCATTATCATCATCCTCAACACATTCATTAAATTGTAATTTTTCACATACAAGCATCAAGGGTGACAATTGGCTTTCTAACTCTTCTTTTCTTCTCCTTTCCTCCTCAAGACGCTCCTCATTCTTTTTCATTATCTCTAATTGACCTCTCATAGATTGAATAATCATCTCTTTACTAGGCCCAGGGTTGTTATCAAGCTCAATGCACCTAATTTGAGACTCAAATATATCAACAAGAGGTTCAAAAGATGTAGAAGGTTGAGGCTCAACAAGAGAAGAAGAAGTATAACCAAGATTAAAAGAATCAACATTAAGATCATGAGCATATACATCACATTGGGGAGTGGGGGCACAATCAAACACATGAGATTCATCATTAAGGGAACGAAGCACATCACAAGAAGGCATAGTAAATAATAAAGAATATTAAAACACACCATTAGCATCAACTTGAGCATGCACTTCATCATCATGAACAAAATGGGAAAAAGAGTTGAAATCATGTGTTCTAGGTTCACTTAAGGGATCATGTGACAAATCATGGGAATTCATGCTTATGTTAGAACAATCAAGACATTGCGCATTAATATTAGAATTATGATTACCCCTATTACAAACATCCCTAGCAAACCAAACATAAAAATCCCAAGCATCATCAATTGACAATGCTCTAAATTCACCATTATGTATACATTCAACTTCATCCCTAGTTTGCTCATTCAAACCAAACTAACATATCTCCAAGCCTCCCAAAGACTACAACAATTATAATCCAAATATTCCTCAATTCTATTGAAATATTCACAAAAAGGCTCATTGTCACATTGAGGAAACGAGAGATATGCCATTTTTTTCACAAAACAAACAAAAATCAAATAAAGGAAAACTATATACAAAGACCTTAACTCAATAAAAAACATTCAAACATAGACACCTTTCCCCGAAAACAGCGCCATTTTGACGAGTGGAAACCTAGGTCGTTATCTAATATTCCCTCTGTCAAACTAAATTTATAAACACTTAACAAATCTAAAAACGAGTATAGAGGCAAGTCAAGGGTCGAACCAAAAGGAACGGTAATGTTTAAGCACTTTAAATTATGAGCCTAAGCTAGGTCGAAATCGAAGGTAAGATGTAACACTAACAACTAACAAAACAAGCAACCAAACGAATAAAACACTGGGAACAGGGATCAACAAGTAATCATGTCAATTGCAACAACTTGAGAAGAGTGTGCTAATCAAAGGTTGTAAAGACTAATGATAAGAGTAATCAATTGGAATCAAAGAGTTATCTCCTAATTGTTAAGCTATGGTTCACTATGAATAAAAAAACTAAGAGAATCACAATCAAAACCAATCGATAATTGCAATTCCTAAATCAATTGTTCGTGTCATCGGCAATTACAATGCAATCTAGCATAATTCTCAAGGCCTAATCAAATTACACACATGCAAACCTTCATTAATCACTTTAATCTGAACAATCAGTTAACACAATTCCCAAATTAATCACCATTAATCAATCATACAAATTTCACCCTCTTCCTAGCCAACAACTACTCAAATATCATCATATATCAACAATCAACTACAGAAATCAAGAATCAACAATATATCAAGAACAATTACACTATCAAGAATCAAATATCAAAATTAAACCAAACAAACATGAAATTAAACAAAGTAATAAGGTGAGATAGAGTTAAGAATGCTCATTGATAATAGAGAAGGTATTCAACACAATTGTCACCCTTGTATCTTCAATCTCTCAATCACAATTGAAATCCCTCACTTTTTCTCTCTAAAACTACTCCTAATCTAGAGAGAGAGACTCCTAAACTAACCTAATCCTCCTTAGAGGAGAGAGAAACTATTCTAAAACTAAAGAATTTCATGTATGTAGACTAAATAAAGTTGTACAATATATATACAAACGGATAAAAGAAGTTAAATCGCGAATAAACCTAGAATGTCGCGCCCGCAGAGAAATCGGTCGCGCTCGCAGAGGAGAACAGAGTACGAGGGAAGTCGCTCCCACTGCAAAAACCCGCGCTCGCAGGGTGGCCACGGCCAGGCCGCGGTGAGTTCCTACTCGAATTTGCTGCTTTTGAGGTGCAGCCACCCGCGCCCGCACTGGCAGACCCTGTGCCCACGGCAATAGGACCCGCGCCCGCGGCTTATGGGTGTGCGGCTACGCTGCTGGGCTATGTGGCTTGCTCGAGTGTGCTGCACGCAAGACTGCTCTGGCTACTGCGTTGCGTAGTTACACGAGGTTGTTGCTTTGTTGCTCGGGGTCGCGGAGCTTGCTTGGTTGCTTGACATGCATGCTTGGTGACAGGCTAAAGTCGTAATCACCCAATCAAAAATAATTCTGAAATCCTCTAGCTAATGCAGATAGGGAAGTAGGCTCGAATCCACAGGGAAACTGGTCTTTCGATTCCTAATTAATTAAAGCAATCTAAATTATCAAGTAATAATTTAATAATATGGATATAAAACTAAACTACGGAGATTAAGAGTAAAGAGAAAACAATGAATAAAGGCCTAGGGCACAGGTTCACTAATAAATAACATTCCAGGGTTAAACATAATAATCAATCATCAATGCATAAATTAATCAGATCATAAAGGGTTTTCGCTATGTACTACAATCAAATAATTAATCTACCGGTATTAAATCTCATCTCTCGAATCTCGACTTAACCATTTATAAATTAACTTGCCTACTGAAACTAGACCTAAACAACAATTATCATCTCTCGAATCTCGAATCAATATTGTCAAACTCATGTGTAAAAGATCAGGCCTAATCTAGTCACAGAGCATTAAATCAATCAATAGGAAATTAAGCTAGCATTGATAATCAACAACAATAAATTACCCCTTCATATTATTTATGGATCCCCACAAACCCTAGAAATAAAACTACTCACACATAATTAAATATAAACTAATCAAAACAATAAAACAAGACATGATCAAATGAATAAATAAATAACTAAGATATTTTTTTTTTGAAGACAATAAATAACTAAGATTAAGAGAAAAGAAATCGTTACCAAAGTAATCTGGAATTAAGAGTAGAGTTAAGAACAAAGTATTAGAGAGAAAACTAATCTAAAAACTAAGTAGAGAGAGAAAATCTAAGAGAATAATTAAGAAAGAGTAAAAGAAGATACTAAACTCGCTTAACGAAAAAGTATTTATATTAAGCAAGAATCCTCAACTAAAACAAACTTAAACGACGATTAAAGCATCCTAATAATGACACGCGCCCGATCGGGCGAGGCACCGTCCAATCGGGCGCGCCTTTTTACTCATCATGTGTGTCTCTCGCGCCCGGGCGGGCGCGGGTTCGGGCGCCTACGTTGCTTCCCCCGCTCGGTCGGGCGCACCTTCGGGCGGGAGCTCTTTTGGCCGGGCGGCACTCTTGGGCCACTCTTTGGATTTTGATTGGGCTCCAATTCTTCAAGCCAATCTGGATTTCCTCTTCGGGTCTTGAATACTCGGTCCAAATGCCCCGCTATCACATACACAGAGCCCTTAATCACCGGTTCGATGGCTCTAACCGGCCCTCGGCTATGAAGGATGGTCGTGCATCTCCAATGCTCGTAGAAACTCCATAATATCTCGGGAAAATGCTCCAAAAGTGCAAATCCCTACAAAAGTCAACAAAATCTACGAAAACACTAGAAAACACCAATTAGTAACAAAAGTGGCTCTAAAGAGCCAAAAACACTACTAATTATGACCAAGGGACGGAGGTAAAATACTGTATAAAATGAACATATCAATTGGCTTCCCGAATTTGCTCCATTGACTTCCTTGAATGCGCTTGAGCTCCCTCTTCGATGATTAAATCCCGGAGAACTCGACATAGCTACATAACAAGTCAAAGAAACGGAGATGCGAGAGAAATAGCCGAGAAATGAATAAAATAATAAGAAAATCATTAAAAGCACGCATTTCTCTAAACTTAGACACAAACACAAAATTCAAGCATTATTACCTAAAAACACGACATAAATGACTAAAGATGATCATAAAAATATGAAGAAAACCTAGCCTAAGAGTGCCATAAATGGCACGCATCAGTTCTATTATACATTATTGATCACCATATTGCATGTTAAAGGGAATATGAAATCAAAAATCACGACTAATAAGATAATTTGGACAGCCGGTTTAGGTTCCTTTTTAATCTTGTTATTAATTAAAGTGATCACGATATTTTAGAATTATGAGTGCTTTAATATTCAACCAATTTAGCATAATAATAGTTTGGAGAAAATTGAATCTTTGTTTGCTTGCCTTTGAGATCGCAGGAATCACTTTTCACTATAAGAATCGAGTAGAGGCCAATACGGGCGAATGTGACTCAATGACTCACTTCGTACCATCATCCCCGATCCTCCTTTCGTGGTTCCGAACAATATGGAGTTAGTAATCTCATGGATTATGAATGGCGTGTAACCTTCATGGGTCAATCGTTGTTGCCT